CAATGAAAAAAGGCTTTGAGGGAAGATCTATTTGTAATACTCATTGTATTTGCCAGTTTAACGTTTTGCAAGACTGCTTGTGTGCTTTTTGTTACGGCTGAAAGGAGTTTCCCAAATTTGGGGCCAGGGTAAATGGCTCAGTTCTTGCACTTTAAGGATGACTGTGCTCTTAAAGATTTTTTTATTTTAATCTGTAGCAAAGTAAGAAAAATTAGCATTTATAATTAGGCTCAGGGACTTGAGGGAAAATTGTTTTAGATGGATGAGTTAGTAAATACATAAGCTTTTAATAGAATAAGTGATTACTATATCAGAGTTCACTCTGTATTTAGGTTTTTGTAGTTGGTTCTCTTGGATAGTTGAACAAAAGCTTTTAATAAAAATGGTCAGCCTCATTATCGGTTTTGAGGTGAGGCACCCATGAGTTTATTAGAGAGCAAGTAGTGTTAACACATACATCTTCACTCTACACATTGAACACTGCATTTAGTCTTAAGCTTGCTTGTTTTTTTCTGTGCCGGAAATTGAACTCAGGACCTTGTGCTTGCCAGGTAGGCACTGTGCCGCTAAGCCATCTCCTCGGCATAAGCTTGCTATATTCACTCTTTTTTACCTTTTTTTTTTGGTGTTGGTCCTGGGATTGAACCCAGGGGCTCATCCATGCTAGGGAAGTGCTTTCCCACTGAGTGACACCCCTGGTCCCTGCTTTGTACAAATTTTATCAGTAGGTAGACCTGTTTCTCACCTTTTTGGTTTCCTGAATTCATTATTCTACTCTGAATACATTCAGTGGGGCTTACAAACAACTATTGGCTCATAAAGTAACATAATTGTTAAAATTTTTTTTTCTAAGACCTAGGGGTTGAAAAACATCTTGGCTTGATTCAGGCCTTGAAACTTCTTCCTAGCTCTGTGACCAGGACAAAGATATGTAACGACTCTGAGACTGTTAACTTTTTATCTGTGTTAGGATTAAATGTGATACTGCATTAAATAAACTCACAAATAAGGCAGAACAGTGCTTGGCACCAGATTTGAAGTATTTTGCTCCACTGAATTGTTTTTCGTTTTGTTTTGTATCTTTTATGCTTTTAAGTTGCATGAGGATAGGTCTGATCTGTTTTGTTCATTATAGTATTTCTTTCTCACATGTGATGTAGGACTAGCGTGGAGTACTGGTTTATAAAGTAAATATTTGTAGAATAAATGAATAAATGATGAATGTAACATTTTCATGGAAGTTGTAGTTGACTATATAATGAAGTGGGCTCCATTTTGTCACTGAAACAAATTTGTAACAAAACTTGTAATAACTTCTCAAGTTTTACAGCCTAAAAACCAACTTTCTTAGTTTTACATTAAAAAGGAAACCTTTGGAGTTTTCTGTACTCATATTTTTTCAGTCTTTCATCTCAAGTGTATGATTCTGAGTTGTGAATTCACTGGCTTGCTGTGCTGTCCATTTCATGAAATGGGATTCATGTAAGCACTTCTGAAATGATGTATCATTCCGCATAGCTATGTCTTTATTAGTGTATGCTTCTGATACATAATAGTTATATTAGTTGGGAGAATAGGTACATGTATTACTTATATATAATTTCTTGATCCATTTCTTTAGAGTTGTTTATAATAACCCTCAAGTGTTTTTAAACAAAGTTTGCTTATGCATTTTTCCAGACCTAGTTCAAATCCTGCCTCCTGTGTAAAACATGACTTCCTGAGTCTGAAATGAGCACTTTCTTTGAACATTGATAGTCAATTTTTTTGCATAGCTCATTTGCTAAATGTGAGTCTGAATTGTCTCATCTTGCTTGTTGTCTTATATAGGATCTTGAGATGTTTAATGCTAAATGAAACCAACAAACATTTATTGAACACCCATATGGACCTAATCTCTGCATAAAGTTTTCATGTATTCCAGTTTTCACTATTGGATTGTAAGACACTTTAAGGAAAAGATAGATATGTACTTGTGGGTTTCATGAATGATTCTTTTACATAATGAAATGTGACCGGGTGATTATTTGATATATTATTAATGCTAAGAGTGAGTTTGAAGTGTCATTTTCATTTTTAGAACCAGTCTAGCACTTGTCTATGATAGCTGAACCCATATGTATCTTTCCTTTTTTTAGTTCGTTTTCACATATTTTGACTTATTTTGGTTTATTTCTCCTCAATCAAGGTAGAAATATTATCTTCCCTTGCTGAGCTTTTTCACAGATCCTTTAGGAAAACCTACCATTTCATATATGTGTTGTCATTGTAATTTTTTTTTTTTAGGGCTGAGGATCAGTGCAGATGCTAGTCAAGTGTTCTACCACTGGGCTACATCCCCAGCCCCCATTTTATTTAACTTTTTGAGAATCAGGATCAAAAGAACAGAAATAGAATTTCCATTGTGCATAATAAATTTGTTTTCTAAAAATGATTGGGGCTTAAATCCAGTATCAGCCTAGCACCAGTGGAGGGTATTTTGCAAAGGGAGTTAGCACTTTGAGGCTTTTCTTTGAAGGTGGGCCCTTCGGAGACTTGAAAGAATATGTATGAAGTATGTAGGATATTTCTTGTGGGAGCCCCCTCGATGGAGTGGGGTTAATAATTGGAATGTTAATATAAAAAATTGGTAAAGTTCTATGTAATTAAATAAGAATGTACGTATAGCTGTTTTGCTGTAATGCATATATTTCTTCACCTGTAGTTGATATAGATCCAAGGCATTTTTCAGCTGCCAGAAGCTTTGTGTCATCCTTATTATATGAAGTATATCCATAATTGATCCTCTCTGTGCAGTGAGTCCACTTTGGATTTCATGAACATGAAGCAATAATTTAGATAACTCATGAAACCACCTAGCACAGAATGATAGATTTTTAGAGTTCTCTTGTCTGTTAATGTTATCTAACTCATACCTAATTTGACAGCCACATTTTAAAAGTGACTCATCACCTTTGTTGTATCTTGCCAAAGCATCCAACATAATTTTCAGCGAAAGGGCAACTCTCTTTTAAGTCGTTTGCATACTATTTAATTGAAAAACATGTACTGATTATTGCAAGAGGAATTGAAAGACAGTTTTGGAGAATAAATGCAACTGGCTTTTGCATTTGCATACAGCAAATGCTAAGCATACAGCTCAATTTAAGGGAGCAAAAGTATGAAAGTGGCCGAGACAGTTACCTGTTAGCCAAAAATGTTGCTTCTGTTGGCATCATCCAGTCTCTTTACAGAGGTGATGGGGGAGTAGGTAACAGTTATGTCAGGTCTGTTAGGAGACCTGCTGAAGGCCAGTATGGCTTGAGTACACAGTGGCAATGGGCTATTGTAATTGATTTTATACTTTTCAAAAGGTCCATTTTCCATGAATAACATGCATTTTTACAATCTAACAATGGATAACTGTTATACAGAGTGCCTGAAGAAAATCAGTATTCAACTAAGATCTCTATGTAGCTTTTCCCCAATTAGAGATCCCCCCTTCTCACCATCCATACCTCTTCTTGGCATTTGAAGCACTTCCCATATTCCTTTATCTTAGCACTTCTCATGTGGACTTAATTAACCTGTTTTCCTTTTCTCTAAGCACTTCCTCCTAGGAGCTTTTATACACAATGTCGATCTGCAGTTGGCCTAGCCCAACAGATTGTATGGAAGAGAAGTCTGGCCACTTGAATAGATGTCACAATCCAATCTTGCTGAGATGTAGTTTTTATTGATTGGGCCTAGAAATATAAGCAGTCATTATCTCTAAGTTCAGTCCAGAAAATATTTTAGTATATTAGACGCAGTTGAATGTATTCCATATCTAAGATACTGTGCTGTGTCTACAAAGTCCTGAGTGGATTCTGTCTGTGGGTGTGTGTATTATTACTACAGTAGGACTATTTGAGGAGAAGAGTTCATTAGAGCCTAGAGGAACCCAAGAGGATTTGACAGTGGATGGCCCTGAGCCAGACTGGGAATGGTAACAATAACTAGTTTTTTTCAGCAGATATGTACTGCTTTGTGGCATTTGGTAGTCTAGATCTCCCTCAAATTCCTTTCCTTTTTGTCACACATGCCTTGTCTTCCCACTTGGTTTCTGGCGTCCTTCCCTAGCAGTATCTTTGTTTTCTTTAACAATCTGCCCTTGGCCATCTTCCTCTGTCTGGGCTGGAATGCTTTATTATTGTAACCCTAACCCTGAGCTTCTGGTAATAGTCTTTCTCACTCTTATAGCACTTTTATATGCATAACATATCTTTTACTGTACTGTAACTTCTTGAGGGCAAGTTGCATCTTTGTAGTTCTTAAAATATCTGGTATATTATTTTCTAAGCAGTAGGTGCCACATGCCATTCTCTTAAATTTAGCATTATTCCCCAAATTTGGCCCCTTCTCCAGGCTTTCCTTTTTCCGTTCATATTACTTGAATTTTCCCTTGAATTCCACATTTGGTCAGCAAGTTCTGTTGCATCTGTATTCTTTTCTTTTTAACTGGGTGTGGTGGCATGTGCATGTAATTCTAGGACTCTTGGAGGCTGAGAAAGGAGGCTCACAAGTTCAAGTCTTGCCTGTCTTAAAATCAAAGAAGAGCTGATGGGCTGGGGATGTAGCTCAGTGGTACAAGCGCCTGCCTGGCAAGCGCAAGGTCCTAAGTTTGATTCCTGGTACCAAAAAAAAAAAAAAAAAAAAAAAAAAGGAAAAAAGAAAAAAAAGTAGCTGAGACTGTAGATCAGTTTGAAGGCTCTAGGTTCAATCCCCAGTACCAGTAAAATAAAAAAGGAGAAGAAGATTTTTTAGCTACACCATTCTTTCTACTCTCATCATTGCATGCCAATTAAAACCCAAATATTTAGTGCATATTGTGTTCTAAGCACTCTGTAGGGGCTGGGGATACAAATATTCAGATCCAGCCCCTTGTTCCTAGATTACTAGTGGGGGAGAGAGAAGTACTTACTTTGATACTTGATTAAGCAGATGTTTCTTAACTATCTTCTCTGTGCTGACTGCTGCAGGCATGGACCTACTGTAGTCAAGAGTCCTTTTCCACAAGCTGCTCATCTTCGAGGACAAGAAGCCTATAAAATACAACTACTGGATTTCCTCTGTTCTGAGGTACATTTTTCTTTCATGTTTTATCATTTCTGAAATCCAGAAGTCTGAACCCTTGCATGTATGTTTGAGTTTTTTTTTTTAAATTCCCCCTTCAAGAACTATTGTGCCTGCTTACAACAGGTAGAACCGTATAACTAGAAAACTATACTTATCGATGGAAAGTATTGTGACAAATGTGCAGAACTGCACTGTTATATGGTACATAGAAGTATTCCATATGTACCTGGAATACATTTATATTAAAGTAACCACACATAGCTACTAGCTATGTGTGGTTACTTAAATATAAATAAATTAATTAGCTATTAAATTTAAACTCAAATTATGTAAAAGATTCATTCCCTCAGTTTCACTAGCCACAATTCATGTACCATGTTTCTATTGGGTGGCGCAGATATAAAACGTTGGCATGATTGCAGAATGTTCCAGTAATCGTAGTCTAGGATGTGTTTCTATAGTTGTGCCTGAAGGGTTTGAAAAACTTTAGTTATTTCCTGGCATTATTACTACATGGATTTCTTCTTTCAAGGTGGTGGTGTCAGGGAATTTATTTTCAGTTTTACCAGTGCATGATGAGTAGATAGTAGATACCCAGACAAAAACAACTGGAGTGTTAAAAAGTTTAGCTACAAAGGGGAAAGCTCCACATTTTCATAACAAGAGATAGGAAGCCTTTTAATAAACAGATTTTCTTATGTTGAAAATTTAAGAACTTTGCCTAAGTTTATATCATTTATCAAGTGGGATTCAGGGAGGCTCATTATGTTAGAAGGCTATGGCTTAACAGGACACCACAATTAAAATTTCCAAATTGGATACTTAGGAGATACTCAGGACTACATGTAATTTCTCAGGGAAGATAAAATTGGGTATAATAAATGGAAATATTTATATGAACCATTAACTCCCGTGGATTTATTTCTCATTTAGTGAGTGTGGTTTGCAATGGAATGTGGAGGAAAGGTTTCCTAATTTTTTTTCTTGTTTCTATTTTTTTGTGTGGTAAAACATAATTTATTCATTCTCCTATTAATGATTATCTAGGTAGTTTCTTGTTTTTGTACAAAAATTAATAAAATTATGAATGTTTTTGTACAAGTCTTTTGGTGGGCAGATGCTCCCATTTCTCTTGGGTATATTGAGTAAGAGGGAAGCTGCTAATCCATAGCATGAGTACATAATGCCAGTCAGTTTTATGAAGTATCAGGACCAATTTGTGTTGCTTTCTTTTTGATGCCACAGAATGTTAAAGTTTGTCATGTATGCATTTTTCACTATCTGAGCGTTTATTTCTCTCAAGCCTGTCTTAAGTCATTAATCACTATAATGTCACAGATCTTTGCGATCACTAAGAGTAAATCTGAAAATAGTACAATAGTACAAAATAATATCACTCAAATGGCCTTAAAGAGTAGAGAAAGTATTGTATTCTCTCCCTTCATCAGGCAGTCTTGGTTGACTTTCAAGACAATGGTCTTTGAAGAAACTTGTTCCTCTCTTTGTAAATGATTGTGTTGTGTGCTGGGTTCCTGTTGCTTTATGCTATGGGTGTTAGTGTACTTTGCCTGTCATTGATATCACTAGTAAGTGTGGTGCTGGGGATTGAACCCAGGGGCTTGAACATGCTAGGTAAGTGGCTCTACCAGTGCGCAAACCCCCAGGTCCTTCTGAAAGTTTAATTCAACCTAGTTCAGCATAATAAGGCAAGTTTTGAGCTGCATTCTCAGTACTGGCAGAGTACTTTCTGAGCCACTTCCATGCCTAAAGAGCAATAACATTGTGTCCCCTGGCCTCAAAACCTTGCCTAGTGGGGGTAGAGCATACATAATGGTGTAAGACCAACTATAATTGTCACTAGCTTGCAAGTAAAGTGCCTGGGGGCTGCTTTATCCCATCATATCACATGCAGTTTGGGTTGCAGAGAGGGGATGATATCCCTGTAAAGCTCCGTGGGACGAGGACAGTGTATGAAGTTAATTTTGGAAGCATTTTGATTGTGGTTATGGTGTATATCAGGTGAAGGGAACTACTTGGTAGAGTCATGAAGCAGGAAAGTTTACTGAGTAGGTTTCAGAATTTGTTCTCCAAAGCAGTAGCACAAACATCTCCTGGAAACTTGTTAGAAATGTAAATTCTTGGGCCCCACTTCAGACCTATGAATCCTGAAATTCTGGGAAATCCCAGAAATCTGGGTTTTAACAAGCCTTCCTGGTCACTAGGGTGTGCTAAAATTTGAGAGCCTTGGTTATTTGGCCAGAGACTAGTAAATTGCCCTTGGTTGGAGAGTAAGGATTGAGAAAGGAAATGATAAGAACAGAAGGACACAGGCCTACTGCAGAGAAATGGAGTACTGTGGTAAATTAGAAGCAGAGGAGCCTTGGGAATTAGAAGAAGCCTGCAGCTGAGTTGCAGCATGGCTGGTATGGGTCGGTCTGGAAGGTGGCTGGTGCAGTGTCAGAAAAGAGGGGACTTGCAGCCTCAGAAGCAGCTGAGGTGTGAACCTAGGGATTGGAAGAGGATGGGGGGCAGGAGGCTGCAGTAGCCTTGTTGGTAGATGGTGCAGATGCCATGTGGTTTGGGAAGTGGGATGGGGAAAGAGTGTTTTCTACAGGGGGCCCCTGCCCCATACAAGCTTAGTGTAGGAAATTTGGACACTTAAGGGTAGGTAAAAGCAGAATCACCGGAGATCCCATTTTTCAGAGATGAACAAAATTATTTATAAATATAAAAATATTTATAAAGACATGTTTGTTTATTTAAATTTAGTTTTGTATACATAGAATTATATAATTCTGCAACCAAATTTCTTAGACAAATAATCTTGAGCACATGTCAGTGTTCCATATATAAAAGAATATACCCAGGTCAGTATGTGCTTGGAAATTGATGGGTTTATGTTTGGGAAACAATGTTTATACAAGAAGCTAATTGGCAAAGATTGCAGTTTCATTTTGCATGATCATAAAAACATCCTGTCTACATCAATTTTACACAGGCAATCTAGGACAAGGCAGTTTGAGATACCTGAAATGCTAACTGTTGGTTTGGGGAGAAGAATTTAAGTATAGTTAGGAAAAAGATGAAATATTGTGGGTTTCATTACAATGATGTTATTCTGGTGTCTTGTAAGACAATTAATATTGAACATAAAACAGTGTCATCATGTAGGTTAATGCCAGCTTTTGAAATTTTCCTTTTAAATAGTAGCTGGCTATTAGTGAATTTCATAAACAAGTGAAATGTGGAATAGCTTGGCCATAACTTAGTTTTGTGGAAGATTTTTGTTCATTGACAGAATGTACCATCTATGTAGCGTGATTTTTTTTCCTTAAGATATTATACTCATTCTTCTACATCAATATATACAACACTTTGTATTAATAGCATTTTGTGACATCATTTACTTTATCAATCCTACACTGACTGATAATGATTACTGGTGAACTTAGACAGCTTTTCATAAGTTTTAAAACAATTGTATTTCTCTTGTGAAAAGCCTATTGCTATATCTTAGCTTTTTTCTTAACTTGTTTAAATTGTACTTATTTGAAAGATGCTAATATATTTAAAAAATTCATTTTTTCTCTCTTTAAAACATTTTGCAAATCCATCACTCATTGACTTTTTAAACTTGTTTATAGTAAAGCATGACAATAATGTATATATAAGACACCAGCAAATGCAACATTAATGTCACTTGACCCAGGTGAAGATATAAACATTGGGAAACTGCAGTGGTATACCAAAGAGTGCACGTGATGTGGTAAGGTCCACTTCAGGTTCAGACAGTAGCAGAACACATTTTTTATGCAGAATTTAAAATCAATAGAATGATTGGCTAAAAACTGGTCTGCTTTTCATTATTAACATATGTACACCATTTAAAAAATGTCAGTGTGTATAATATCTACTTGGTAGCTTATCTGTTCACTTTTTGACAAATAGTAGCTCTTAATTTTAATATATTCCAGTTTATCTGTATTTTCGATTATGGTTGTACTTGCTGTCTCTACATAGAGCTGTTCTTCAGTATTATTTTTTAGGAGCTTCATTTTTTATTAACTTTTATATTTGGGTCTATAATCCATCTAAAATTAATATTTATGTATTATGTGAGTTGGAGGTTGTTTAATTTTGTTTTCCCTTATGGATATCCAAGTGCTAATATTATTTATTCAAAAGATCTGATCTTCAGTGCCAACTTTGTTGTCTAGAAAGCATCCATTTCATGTATGATCTGTTTTTGAACTTTCTGTTCTTTTATCTACTTTTCCAGTGTAGTGGTTCATGACTGAGCTTTATAACACTGTGTATCCTGATAATCTAGAGAGAAGTTTTTCTGTTCTTTTTCAAGTGTGTCTTGTTTGGCTTGACTGTTTGACTTAATGTATACATTTTCAAATCAGCTTTTAAATTTACTTTAAGAATCTTGTTAGGATCGATTGGGATTGTATAGAGTCTATAGATCACTTGGATGTAATTGACATCTTTACAGTATTAAGTCTTAACATGGAATACCCCTTCTCTTTTTAGTTTCCTTTTAATTTCTAGAAATACTGTTTTTTAAAAAAAAACTTGCTTTCTACATAGAGATTTCTAATTTTCTTATTTCTAAGAATTTTTTTTTTGTCTTTTTGAAACAGGGTCTCAGTATGCAGCTCAGGCTGGCCTTGAGCTCACTTTGTAGCCCAGGCTGGTCTCGAACTCGCAACGATTCTCCTGCCTCAGCCTCCTGAGTGCTGGGATTACAGGTGTGCGCCACCACGCCCAGCTTTCTAAGAATTTTATATCTTTGATGGTTTAGAGTAGTATTAAAATTTTATTTTTAAATTTTATAGCTGGCATACAGAAATACTATTAATGTTTAAATATTACCTTTTGTATCCCTCAGTTTTGATAAATTCATTTTTTTCTACTAGTTTATTTGTAAGTTATTTTGGATTTTCTATGTGATTTATTTGTAAATACTGTAATGATAGCTTTTTCTTCATTTCTGGCCA